AGGATTGTATCCAGTGGACAAGTGGTTGGTTTAATCTTAATTACAATAGTTTTTTGTTCTAATTCATTAATTCATTCAAAAACATTAAGGGTGTTTTCACGTTCCACTTGCATTGAAGTTAATTGTGAGCCATTTGAACATGTTTGAAGCCTAATGTTGGTCCTATTATGTGTTGGTGATATTCAACAGCAGGGGTAGCCAGTCATATCCGCAAAGGGCCGGTGTGTATGCGGGTTTTCGCTGCAACTCCCTAATTTGATTACTAATTAGAGGACTGATTGGCTGAAAGAGTCCTCACACCTGGGTTTGAACAGCTGACCTATACAGGTTATCCCAAAAACCTGCATACACACCGGCCCTTTGCGGATAAGATTGGCTACCCCTGTTCAACATAAGTCCAGTCCAGGAGGGACAGGAAAGTTTTGCTGAAGGCATCAGTCTCTATATCCACATGTAAATTGAAATTTCCAAGTATTATAACATTCTCTAAGTTAATAATCAAGTCCGAGAAAAGTTCCCCAAATTCTGTCAGAAACAGAGTGTATATGATCCCGGTGGTCTGTATACTGTAAGAATATAGATGGGCAGGTCGGATACCATGTGAATTCTCAGTCAGGCAGGTAATTTACTTGCCATGTTTTGATCCTCTCCAGTTAGGATGAAGACCATCCCATTTATAAAAACCAGGCCATTCCCAAAAAAATGTCCCAATTATCAATAACTAGTGCTTTAGGGAGAGTAGTCTACTATAGGTTACATCCCCTCTATAGAGAATTGGTAAGGGACCAGAGACAATTAGAGTCTGACATTTTGTTTTAGCTTTTGCACACATAGAAATTAAGCTGGGCTTGTCATACCACGAAGAACGGAGCAGTGACCCCTCATTTGGTGTTAGGAACCTGAACCTCTACCATACACTTCCCTAAAAGTGGAAGGGGTTGCTTGCTGGTATATGGGCACAGCTTTGTGGATGCAGGTTGGAGTTTGACTCCAGATCCTGATTTTTGTAGCCTCTTGAAATG